CCAATCACTAAATTGATAAAGGTTAGCAAAAATGATTCCAAATAACATGTCTCCATCTCCAATCACTAAACTGATAAATGTTAGCAAAAAACATTTTAGTAGGAGAAAGAGAACCAATAAATTTCCACATAGAGCGGTCCCTAGTATTATTCTTTAGAGGTATTTAGAAATCATAATAGCTTGCACACTAAAAACATTAAAATGTTTATTAACATCCCAATTATCATGAAGCCACAAATCCGAGAGAATGGAGTCATGCGAAAAACCCTGTTGTAGAGGGATAACAACCTCACCTTGACCCCATTGGTCATGCCAGATCGAGATGTTGCCCTGTCCAGCATCCCAAAAAATGAATTTCAAAGCCGTAGCTCTAGCCTTAATAATTGCTTTGCAAATCTTCGAGTCACCCACTTTGTGGTACAAAAAATTAGCCCATACGGAGTCATTTGAGTGAAATTTAAACCACAACTTATACAGTGAAATTTAAACCACAACTTATTACATATTAATCTCAGAGATTTGGTTGAGACTCTTAAGCCCTAACCCGCCGGCCTTCATAGGTTTGCAAACTTTATTAAAAGAAGACCAATGCTTCCTATTATGACTTCCAAACCAAATAAAATGATTAAATATCTTCTCTAAAGTGTGTTGAGTGCTCCTCTTAAGATTAAGAATTTGCCAAGCATACATAGGAATGCTGAATAGAACACTTTTGAGCAAGGTAAGGCGGCCACCATTAGATAGAAATATATTTCTCCAGTCCTCAATTTTGGACTTGATTTTCTCAACAACATCATCAAATTAAATTTGCTTCCGGTGTTCCCTTAACAAATTAACACCAAGATACTTGAGAGGGAGAGCAGATGCATGACACCCAGTGAACAAAATAGCCCACGAAGCAATAGAGCGATTTACGTTCTTGCCCAAAAAGAGATTGTATTTATCTCTATTAAATATTAATCCAATAGTTTATTGGAATTCCTCTATCACCTTTATCAACAATTTAATAGTATTTTTGCCAGCATTAGAGAAAATGATAACTTCATCTGCATAAGCAAGCTGACTAACCAAAACCTTGGACTTATGTTGAAAGTGAGTATACATCTTTTTTTGCTGCATTTTATTGATCGAACGAGAGAAATAATCAAAAGCAATTATAAATATCATCGCCCCCCCCCCCCTCCCAACAAACCAGTTAGCATGAATAACTTCTCTCATAATAGCAAGCTTTTGCCATGATAATATTTACCTAGAAGTAAAGAACTTGCATAAACAAAAGTAGCCCACACAGAGTAGATATCCAGCTTAAAATGAAGCAACAAAAATTGTTCCTCATTCTCCAAAATAGTAAGATCAATATTATGTTTCCAGAAAACCCAAATTTTATTATTTTTATTGAAAAAGACTTTGTACTATTTAAATTTTCTGCAAATCTGATCTTTATTATTAGTAACAAGAGGCTCAAGAATAGCTAAAATGTGAACCTTGTGGACCCTACATAAATGCTTCAACCTATTAAGGGAGAAAGGGCCCACCACTCCCTTAATATTCCAACACAAAATGTTAAACATTATTTCTTATGCGACCACTTCTAGAAGACCTAGAAGAGGTGCTGACTTGTTCTCCATCAGAAAGATTTCTTCCATCGAGATCTTCCATCAAGAATAATTTCTTCCATCAAGAATAATGTTATCCATATCAAGATGTATAAGTTCATTGTTATGTTTGCCTTTATTCCTGCTAGCTTTTTGAACCATCCATTCCTCTTCAATAACATTAGTAGCTGCAGAAATATTCGCACCAGGAATGAGTTTATCATTCAAAGAAAGCGTGGAGCCAATATCTAATGGAAGCTTGCCCTCCATCGCAATAGATGTAGAACCAACATAGTGTGGATCTTTTCCAGCATTAATAACCCCACCCACCACCTCCAAAATGGAAGAGATAGGATGATCCTCATCCATAGGATGATCCCCATCAACATTAGTAGGTAATGTATTAGCATTTTGCACAACAACTATTTCAGCATGAGGGCTATTATGATTTAAAATATAATTACCTGCCTCATTATTCTGAGAAGCATCATCCATAGGATGAATATTTAGGGGAACATTAGCATTAGCATTCATAATATCATCAGGAGGAATATCATTAGGAGGGATTTCAGGTGCATGTAAAGGACGATTAACATCCTTTCTAAGATGAGGATGCAGACGATAAAAATGCGAGGTGTGCCCAAACATGTGATAATTAAAATAGTAGGGAGAGTGCCTTTCGATCTCAACTTTCTGCCAATACTCATGATGCGCCGAACCAATTCATATTTAATCACAAAAAGGAAGCGTAATATCACGCTCCACTAAAATGAGGGCCTAAGAAGGGCGAGATAAATTTAGCGTAGGACCATCCATTTTTAAAGGCTTGCCATAAGCAGAAGCTAAAAAAACAAGACTTCATGATTAAAGAGGTGAAACTTCAAACCAGGAAATCGTATCCACACCGGGATCGTGAGCTGTTCCGATTTAGGATCGAAATCAACTGTCCATTTTAAAATTTTCATGAAAACATCAGTAATTCTAAGAAAATGACGAGCAAAAAAATGAGTATAGTCTTCATCATTCAAGAGTTGAATCAAAATATGCCTCCCATCCAAAAGGCCAATTTACCAAAAATCGATAAATTTCAAAGATTCAAATTCTCTCATAATAATTATAAGCTTAGGAAGACCAAAAGTAATTTTCCCAACCAACCCATGTTTACAAGATGAAGCAAGAATATTAGTTTCCTCCTCTGAAACAAACCAAGCAAACTTCTCATTCTTCTTACTAGTCTGCCTAAAAAAATGATAATCACCATCCAAAACCAAAGCACCCTGGAAAGCATTCGGGAAAAGTCCCGTACGGCTAATCGAAGCAGAACCGGAACCCGCCAGAGCTTCCGCAAAGCTTTTGGCTGTTAAAAAACCAGAAAAGAGGACCAAGAGCCACAGAAAAAGCAAACAATCGTGTATATCTATCTATCTACATATATTTGTACGCATATATGTATGTATCTATCTACTTATATATGTATGCATATATGTATCTATCTAGATTTATACGTGTGAGTGTGTGTGTGTCTATACATATAGACACACATATATGCGTACAAATATATGTAGATAGATAGATATACACATATAATATATATATATATATATATATATTG